ACGCATTCGTTGGCAGATTTTCTTTCTTTCTGCAGCTCTTAGATTGCAAAACCGCCCGGTTTCACTTTTTTGACATAGAAAATAGACACGTTTTTGCACCAAGGATTATCTGACGCACTTACAGTTAACAGAGAGAAAAAAAATGTTATTGCGATTGAATGCAAATTCTGCTGATGAAAACTGTGAAACGAAGAAACACACGTTGCCAGGACCCCGCATTCAACGATCATAAAGAAGCACCATAGGCAAACGACGAGACCCTGAACGGTCCAAAGTTCCACTCCAGCAGCTTCGACGGTTCCGAGTCACCACCCGCTGCAGCGATCACGATCAAAGGCAAGAGATGCTCCTCGCGCGGATGGCTGTACCTCGCGCTAGGCAACTTTGCCCAACCCTCCAACGCCTTTGCGCGTTCCTCAGGATCCTTGATTGCGCAAACCTTGCCACATAATCATAAATTTATCTCCGCATCTCTGCACCAAACATCACACACCTTTGACAAAGCTTCGTCGAATGCAACGGATCCTGAGTCTAGAGCGAAAGCACCCCCTGGGCGAGCGAACATCGGCCTAAATGCCCCCATGTTGTGGAATGTCATGCCCGAGCCCACGATGGCGACGTTTGCGTCCCGGAGTGGTGCGAGTGCGCGGCCCATGGCAACGTGGACTACGGGGTCTAGGGAGGAGAGGACGGAGACTTGGACGATGGGGATATCTTTGGCTGGGAGGGCGAGAGAGAGTGGAACTGAAATACGGTTAAACATCAATGCCTGGTAAGATTTCAGGCGGGGAAAGTTCACGTACTGAAGACCCCGTGATCCCAGCCGCGCTTGTCGTCGAGTTGGGTTGGAATCCCAGCGGATTCGAGGAGTTTCTGCACTTCGCGAGCCACTTCCGGCTCTCCTGGAGCATCGTCTATAAAACGGGATTCAGGAACCTTCAAGTCGGAAGCAGTAGTTCGAAACCCACATCGGAGTTTGTATGCCTCTGGAGGGAAGCCGTAGTAGTCGTACAACAAGTTATGTTTTGGCGCTACAAATTAGAAATTAGACTGCGTTTCCAACGACAGATTTTGGTCTTCAATGACATACCAGAGGATATGTGTACGACGTCCTCTTCCCAGTGTGCAGTCACCTTCAAAATTGAAGACAGCCCCGTTTTAGTCCAAACACTCCAATTCCCATCTCTCAAGTCGTACCAGCACAATGGCACGCGGGCGAGCACCGGTCAGGATTTTGTTCGCAGTGGTTCCAAGGAAGTCATTGAGTCCCTTGTGGTTCGGGTCGCCGAGTAAGGGCATCGGTCCGCCGCCGTGAGGCAAAAAGAGAGCCTTAATGGAGCAATGCAATAATCTATCAATGGGTGCTGAAAGAAGCGGTACACCTTTACTCACCGGTGCACGCGTCATTGTGGTTCTGTGTTCTGTGTTCGGTGGGGGGTGATAGGGAGGTGGGGTCGTGTTGCTCTTTATATCTGCGTGTGGTGAGTCGATGAGTTGGCCTTACAGAACGCTCGAATCCGTTCCGGCCGGCTTATGAATCAGGCCCCGGATCAGGTTGGTAATAAATTGTCCTGAAAATTTTTGTACAGATCATGACACAAACCACTCACTTTGGACATTTGGTGGTAGCGGCGCTGTGATCAGGTTTCGACCCGTAGATCAATTTTGCGAATGCCGCCATTGAGCTGACGCTCAAAATAGGATCCTGTCATTTTCTGTGGGAAAGGTCTGAGAGGAGTTACGAACGCTTACCACTTCAGCTGAGGGTGCAGTCAGATTTTGCCAATGAACTAACAGATGTTATTTTTATCATTATTGTTTTTTATCAATGATATTTATTTATTTTGCACATACAATGCATAACAATAAACAACACCGAAAGTGCCTTCAAGATGGTCATGGACCAGCACATAGGGAAGCGAGCAGCATAAGGAAAAGCAACAAAGAAAAACTGAGAAAGTAAACTCAAACCTGTGGCTACCCGTCACATACTGCTAAGGTGCCAAAAAAACAGGTAAGCAATAAATAATGAAAAAAGAAAACATTAAGGGTCCACAAATGCAGGCCAAAGGGCCAAAGAGGGAGTCTGGAGGAGAAACTTCTAATGGCAGACACATGGACGAAGGCTATCAATTGCAACATCAAGCGGAAGCTATAAAACAGGAACAGGAACAGGAGGCAAAAGTAGGTCAAGACGCAAACATTCTGATATGAGATCTAGAGAGAGTTGGAGTGCAGCAGCAACAATACTGCTTGCGGGGGTGATGAAACAAACCTCCAAGACAATACTGCAGAAGCCTCGAGATTGACAAAATAGGGAAGCATGGAGGAGCAATTGCTAGTTCAAGAGGGTGGGCAGATGCAAGGGGAGCAAAGCTAGCAGCTATAGCACCATAGGCAGATGAGGCTAATTGGTGAAAGTGATTTGCAATAACATCAGAAGGTTTGGAAACTACAACATTTGCAGCTCAGAAGAGGAAGGGATTGTTGAAAGGAATATGAGAACAAAGAAATGCTTTCCCTGTTGAAGAAAGAATGACAACATAGAGTGAACCATATCAGGGGCATCAACATCCAACGAAATATCTGAAACTGCAGATATTGAAAGCGAAACTGAAGGTCAGGAACCTTACAAAACAGCCATCCCCAGCAATTGAAGTGGAAAATGAAAGGCGAAGAAATGGACATAAACTTTGGTGAATAAAAGTCCAAACTTTGGTGAATAAAAGTCCGAACTGGTTTGCAAACAGTAACAGAGGGAAGAATAACATATAAACCAAATTCAAGCGTAGGTCGAATAAAAGACAAAAACAAATGACGAACCACAACCAGAGAATGAGAACCAAACATCCTTGAAAAAGAAAGAAAAGCAAAAGAAGCTGCACGCACTTTAGCAAGTCAATGGGAAACAGTCATGAAATATCAAATCCAGTATCTCCGAAAAAGCAACCCAAATAACGAAATGAAGGCTTGACAACCAGCAACAAGCGCTCCAGTCGAACGAAAGTTTTCAGCCAGGGTTGATTTGGTACCTGCAACTTGCAATCGCCTTTCCCAAAGAACACTAAATGCGTTGATGTGCCGTCATGGCTGGTTGCATCAATTTAGTGCAGAAGAACCGTTCAAAAACGATTCCCTAGATTCAAAAAGTGATGTATGATGCCGACGACATTCGGATTGCTCACGTATCAGCAGGGGGAACTGTAGCAGTCGGGCGCATTTGGAAGGGTCTTGCAGAGACAGTGATTGAGTATTGAGTGGCAAGTCGATTGTGTTGAGTGCAATTTTTGTTCGCAGTCGAGATGAGTGGCAGAGATTCATTTTGAGTTTGTTTCTTTGCGGATATGTGATTTGTTTTTATTTATGGAGTGCTTTTTATTGAGCTATAGACACAAAGTTCTTTTGCACTTCGTTTATTTCTATCACTTTGTATTTGTGGATAGTGCCAGTGGCAGTGCAGGAGGGAGAGAGCAGGACGCGTGAATTCACAAATGCTCACAAAAAAATCACAGGGAGTTCTACAGACATCAGCCTGCTTGAAGATCAAAATCGCATTCAGCAACAGTCGCAATATCGCCGCGCCGCTCCATCTCACGCTCCTACTCCTGCTCCCCACCAACATCGCACATCTACAATTCATAACCCCCAACCCCCAATGCCAAGACTTGGGGATTGTCTCCATCCACTCTCCCACTCCGCGGTCAACATTCCTGCTGAAATGCCAGTCGAGCCAAGCTGCCACAGACTTGTCCCAATGTTTCAAGGCTATTGCGCACTCATCGCCTGACCAATGATGCCTATGGTACTCGTAGCACCATGCTTGTGACCCCTTGTCTTCTGGTAACTTCATTGCTTGTGGCCTGCCAGTGGTCCTCTTCTTCCCAGGTGTTATCAGATCCTCCTTCTCCAAAGGCCTATATGCTTTCACATCGGGCATTCCACATGCACTTTCTGGCCAACTCAGATACCAGCCACACCAGTAACCCCCAGCAATGCAGCCAGAGGGTGTTCAGTGGCTATCGTGATCTCTTCACTTCACTTGCTCCTTGCTCTTCCCACGGAAAATTCTAGTACAGTGTACACAGCCAGTGAACTGTTGGATTATGAACGTTACAGGACTCTATTACTACAGCCACTTTAACAACCTTACACATTAGCACACTACGACATAACAGATAGACTGGAGACAGCCAGGAGTTCTCAATACAGGATGCAGAGAGACCTGTCGGTTATAATTGCAAAGCTGTTTACTCAGGAAGAGTAATATTTACTTATGATAGTGAGAATGCGTACTATGATGGTAATATTACTTATATTACATGTCATATCAATCCAAGTGCATTCTTTGTCTCAATTAGGAACAATGAATCCATTGTCAGATTGAATCACTTAAAATTATCAGAGTAATATCTACTTACTAAAGACTAAACTTCATTCCCACACAATAGTCAAATGTTAGTTCATCTTATTCTGTCTCTTTCTATATGAATTTGTAGCTTCAAGAAATCTATTGTCACTTAGAATGTGTTGCTGAGAAAATATACTACATCAGGTTCCATCTTCAGAGATGCATTTTTGCTTCAGATTTCTTCTGACTTTAACTGATTGATTGAGTTTGTCTTAAAAACTTTTCTAAGTGTTTGGATTGGTGGAAGAAATTGATGGCTACACCCCCACATGCACTGTAGTTGTATGTTTGCTTTGATTTAGAAGCGCAACTACGTAGAGAAAGGTCAGCTAGGAAGTGGTTTCTGAGTAGACCAGCAGTGGAATTTGCGGAGTACAGCCTGCCTGTGCAAAAATATTCTTAATGTGGCTTCTGAGTAGACCAGCAGTGGAATTTGCGGAGTACAGCTGCCCGTGCAAAAATATTCTTAATGTGGCTTCTGAGTACACCAGCAGTGGAATTTGCGGAGTACAGCCTGCCCGTGCAAAAATATTCTTAATTTCGGGAGAAAATGTAATTTCCTGTAACGTCGCATTCTTGAAGATTTTGTATCAGGTGGCTACGAGAATTGAACTCGTGACCTCTTGATCTGCAGTCAAATGCTCTACCACTGAGCTAAGCCACCTATGGCTGAGATCTCTCTGACTCATTTATGTACTTGCTTCCTAGCAGAATTGAACTCTTGATCTTGTGCCTACTAGGCACACGCTTTGCCAACTAAGCGAAGGAAGCCGTCGTATCTCTCTCTCTCTCTCTCTCTCTCTCTCTCTCTCTCTCTCTCTCTCTCTCTCTCTCTCTCTCTCAAATCAATGCCGCCTCCCAGCGCTCCACATGCGCAGCCGCCTGATGGACTTTCTGGTGGCACCGTGATTTTTGAGGCCCGTTCGCGCCCCCGTGCCTCCTCTGTTGAAAATTCCGCTCCACAGCATCCATTCTCCGCTCTTGCCTCTCCAATTCACTGGGCTGATGATGTGAATATGGGGGAGGATGAAAATGCCAAATCACGTGACTTCGGATCACGTTACCGACGTGCCAAAAGACCTGCTGAACATGAATTGCCCCATGGTCACTCCCGTTCTCGTTCCCGATCACATCTGCCCGGGTGTCCGGGTTCTTGCTGCTGTGGCTGCTCCCTCGAGTGTTGCATCTCTGGCCGATCTCCGTGTCGTTCTCACTCAGATGCGATCTGTTTGTGCAACCTTTGATCCGTTGGCGATGCTGGATCCTATGCTTGCACATTTGCCGAGGGACACTCCTGCTGAATTTTTTAGTGTTTGTCGTGATATGGCCGAGGATCTGGTGGGTCGCTTTGGGAGGCCGCTGCCTTCGCCTTCACCTCCAGTTGCCCCAGTCTCCCGCCATGATGATGTGGCTGCGCCTGTGTGCCTTCCCCCTAGACAACTGCATGGTAATCCTCCAATTCAGGACGATCTTGGGAACTCTGGTGCTCCTGGCCCTCGCCCCCCGTCTAGTCGACCTGCCCCACGTGGACCTCGTGGTCCACGCACTTATGCCGCTGCTGCTGCCAATGCCCGTGCCCGTGTGCTTGAGAGTCTCCCCACACTGAGTGCTGAATCTCGTACAGAAGCTGTCAGGACTGCCCTTGCTGGTCGTGACCCCACTTCGAATGTCAGCCTTCGTGGCCCTCGGCCTGTCGTATTCTATCCTCCGACCTCTCCGCTGCTGGTCTCCCCACCTGCTGATCTTCAGGCCCGTGTGGATGATTTGACCACTGTGTACATCAAGGACATCATGAGACAGCGGCTCGGCTTTGTGCGGACCATGCTGAGGGCTCTCTTGGGCGATGAGGTGGTGCGTGGTATCCGCCACATCAGTTTCGTTGGTCGCAACATTGCTTCCTTTATCTGTATTCGCTCAACCGCAATTGCTCTCCGTGCGCACTTCTCCACCCAGGAAGCTTCCACTGACGAATCAAACCCTGACTTTCTTCGCCGAGCCTCTACTCTGCCTTTGGAGCAGCGGGAGGCTGCGGTCAGGGAAGTTGTCCACAAGAGATATGCACATATCCTCAGTTCAGTTACTGATCCTGCTATTTTCCTGTATGTCCGTGGTCAGCTCCCCATGGATGCTCAGGAAACTGTGCTGGACAGTGCCCGCAGGATTGCGCGTCAGCCTCGCTCAACCCATCTTCGTCAATGATTAGTGTTCGAGTTGGTACCTTCAATTGTCGCAATTTGAGCTTTGGAGTTCTTGATTCACTGTTTCGTTTTATGCGCGCAAATCACATTGTTTTTCTGCTCCTGACTGAAACACACCTTTTTCCTTTAGACCCGCTGCCTTCTCCAGATTTGATTTTTGACACTCGTTTTTCTCCTGGGTCATCGGGTACACGACGGGCTGGTGTGGGAGTCTTGATCAATCGCAGTCTTTGTAGAGCTTCTGATTTCCGTCTCGTTTCTAGTTATGGTGGCACCTCTCTATGGTTTACATTTCGTGGGCTTTTGGTTGGAGGGTATTATTTGCCTCCGTGTGGTATTGCTCAGGACCCCTTCCTTGAAGAGTTTATTGCTTCACTTCCTCAACATGTCCCGTCGTCTCCGTGCCCTGTTCTTTTGTTGGGCGATTTCAATGCCCGTTTTTTAGCTACTGGTGATCATTCTTCAAATCGTAGGGGTAGGTTGTTTGAGCAATTTATTTCTGCCGCTAGTTTCTCTCTAGTTAAGCACCCTTCCTGTCATAACCCCACATTTTCTTCTCGCAATGGTGACTCCATTATCGATTTGTTGTTTGTCAATCCTCTGCTTCAATGTGATCCTATTTCTTACATAGTTCATAGTCGTCTAGCCGACGGCGAGTTTATGCCTTGGGCTTCTGACCATTTTCCGGTTACAGCTGTTTTTTCTTTTGCTCCTCCCAATGCCAGCGCTCCCTCTGCTGCACCCCCCCACAAGCGCTGGGCTGCTCATCTGTTGCGTGAACCTGCTGTCTTTCAAGCAATGGAGGATGTGGGACATTTGTTTTTTGATCCCACCCTTGCTGATGTCAATGCTGCACTCAGTCCAATTTTAGAAGCTCCCGCCTTTGCCCAAATGTCTGTGGATGTTGCACAGGGATGTATTGACTCTGCATTGGATATTATTTTGTCCTTTGTTACTTCATGTGCTGCTTGTGTCATTGGACCCCCCAGTTTAGTTCGCCGTCGCCCTGCCCTGCCATTGTTGCCGCCGCATTTAGTGGCCTTGCGACGGAGCTACTTACTTGCTCATAAGCACTATTTAGCTGTTTCTTCCTGTGATGATCCTGATCCTGGTTTAGTTGAGTATTGCCGCTTGGAGCGTGACCGGCTATCGCGTGAGCGTGTCAAAGCTTTTCGTACTTGGTCTCTTTCTCAGCGAGCTCGAGAGGCTTCTGGCGACAATATGTTTAGTTCTTCTCCTAGTTCTTTAACCGAGGTTAGCAAAGTTCTTTCCACCGCGCGTAGGTGTCATCAACGGCGCTCAGCTGCAAGTGGTTTATTGTCTGATCCTGCCTCTTTATCTCATTATCGCAATCACTTTGCCTCCGTTTATCAGACTCAGTTTGCACAATCCTCTGCCAGTGCAGAACACGTTCGTCTACATGCGCTGAATGATTCTGTGTCAGTTAGTGTTAGTGACTTTGTTTGTGCTATTCGTTCTTCCCCAAACAACTCTGCTCCTGGCCCAAACCATATTCCAGCTGAGTTATTTAAGCCGTTAGCTTCTGATGTTGCTATCCTTTTTGTTCAACTTTCAAACGCTATTTTCCGTTCAGGTTTGTCGCCCTCTGCCTGGAATGCTGGCTTGTTGTTACCTGTTTGGAAGAATAAGGGCTCCATTGGTGATATTAGTCAGTACCGCCCCATTACTTTAACCAATGTTGATAGAAAAATCTTTGAGCGTACCCTGCTTCCTATGCTTGTAGCTCATGTTGGTAAACTTGATCCCGCCCAAGCTGGTTTCCAGGCCAATCGTTCAGGTGTTGAGTGTGTTTTTGCATTAGATGCTACCCTTCGACGGGCTTCCCGCACTGCTCTGCCTTATTGTGTTACTTTCTTAGATATTAAAGCAGCGTATGATACTGTGCATAGGCCTCTTTTGTGGGAACGTCTTCGTCAATTTCCCAGAATTCCAAACCGTTTGATCTCTGTTTTGATGAGTATGTTTGATCGTTGTTCTTCTCAGGTTGTTATAGAGAATCGTTCTTCTGATTTGTTTTCGCTTCCACGAGGTCTTTTTCAAGGTTCTGTTTTGTCTCCGTTCTTGTACTCAGTTTTCATCAATCCTTTAGCACAGCTCCTTCGTCGTGAATCTTCTCATCTTGCTAGGTTTTCTTATAACACTCCTGTTTTCAATTCGTTGTTTTTTGCTGATGACATAGCTTTGTTTTCTGCCACCCCTGAGCAAGCCCAACGTGCATTGAAAATTTGTGAAGATTTTGCTTTAGCTTCTCATTTTGTGTTTTCACCTTCAAAGTGTGCTGTGTTATCTTCTCAACGGTTACCCACCCCCTTGAAGCTTCATGGCTCTGCCCTCCCTGTAGAGGTTTCATTTAGATACCTTGGTCACTATTTTACTATTGAAGGGTTTGATCTTGCTGCAACTATTGATCATCGCTTAGAGAAAGCTCGTGCCTCATTGTATCTTTTTGCACCTTATGTCTCGTACTTTGGTGGGTCTGCTCCTCGTGTTGCCAGGTTGTTGTTTTTGTCTTTTATTAGACCTTCACTTGAGTTTGGTTTAGCACTTATTCGGCCTTCCACTGCTCAGCTTCAGGTACTCGAGCGTTTTTGTTATCATGCACTGTGTCGTCTGTTTTCGATAGCCCATACCACTTCGCGTGTTGGTTTGTTGCTGTTAGCGCAAATTCCTACTTTTGAGTTCAGGCTGAAGTACCTTCAGGCACGTATGTTTGCTCGCTGGTCTAGTGATTCCAGCCCTCTGTTACCAGCTGCTGTGTTGCAATTCTATCGGTCATCTCCAGTCGGTTATGGTTCATCTCCTTATTTTTCCGCTTGTCACAATGATCTCATTGTTCCTATGCCTGTTGTGCCCCCACTTCATCCGTTGATGTTGCATTTTCAGTCTATAGCTGTTGCGCATAATGGACCAATTGCAGTTTCGTTTGCCCCTGTCCGCAATTTGAAACTTCGCCACCCTTTGTTGCTACCCCCACACCAACATCTCCCAACAGTATGTCTTCGTTTGTTCCTGCTATATCGGCTTGGCCGCCTGTTTCCAAACCCCCGACCTTATTGTAGGAACTGTCATGATGCCCCTGAAGTGTCGCGTGCCCATGTCTCTGTGTGTCTACATTTGCGTGCTAGTTTGTCTGCTAGTTTTGATTTAGGCCCGCCTGACGATCCCCGCCTACCTCTTGACATTGCAATTGATATGCTTTCACCACGGCCTTTTTATCCTTCCCCTGCCTTTTCCCAGTGGGTTCTTGTTCTTCGTGCACTTAACCGCATTTGGTCAAACTGTCTTGGTTATGAGTTAGTTTTGTCTCCAGCTCCTGATTGTATCTTGTCTGCTTTTGTTGATTTGGATATGCCTTAGTGTTTTGAAACATTTTACTTTTCCTACGGCTCGCACGGCTCCCCATGTGCTGCCAATTTACGTGTATTTTTACACTTGTATTTGGATT